TCCCCCTCATCTGGGGCTCCTCCCTGGCCCCCGAGTTTGGGGGAGAGGAGGACTCCAGGAGGGAGGGACTTGTTCCCCAGCCCAGAAAGAGTCACCAAGAGGCGGCTGCTGGGTGACCATGTCTGCCTGCACCAGTGAGCGAGGGATGAATGTGGTGTTTGCAGAGCGGGGTGGGGAGGGTAGGTTTGCAAAAGTCAGAATTAACTGCCATAACTAGAGGTGTGGGGACCTCCTGTCTACCCCGCTCCACCCCCCGCAGTCATCCTCATCCTAGCCGTCATCTGCACAGCGCAGGGCTTTGAAATCCTCTAGCCCTGGCTATCCAGGCTCTGCTGGGTGCTGTGCCCGTAGGATTCGGCTGAGCTGGGAATGAAGAGAGGAAGGAGACGTGACCGTGCGAGTGGACTTGGCCCTGGCCCGATGCCCTCGGCAAGGGGCAGGGCTCAGGCAAAGCCATGCAGCCCCGTCCACATCACCTTCTCAGGTCACCGTTGGGAGTGGGGACCCCCAGGAGTAGGATTGGAAGCGTCCACTTCCAGAATCCAGGTTAAAGCCTGGTGTCAGTGTGCTGGTTTCCCCACCGGTTGAGTTTGGATGTTTTAAAATAGTCGAGGGCTGTTTCCAGTCACCCTTGAAAGGAGCAGCTGGCCTCTGGGTGAATTTCTGTGTTGATGAGCTTTGGGTCTGAAGTCAGGTTGCTGCTTGATCAGCCAGAGGTGGTGGGAACCAGCTGCCATGTGGGCGCAGAGGCCTGGTTAACACAAAGCCCCTTGTGGCCCAGACATGCAACCTACGTGGTGTATTCCTTTGGAGAGGCCTCACGGCCCCTGCGTTTGTAGAAAACTAGCCCCAAGATGTGACCTCTCTTTTACCTGGGCCAGTAGGATTCATTCATTCATTCGTTCAAAAATTATTTCCTGAGCACCTATTAGGAATTCTCTGCTGGTCCAGTGGTTAAGGCTCCACGCTTCCACTGCCGAGCACCCAGGTTCGATCCCTGGTCAGAGAACTAAGATCCCACGAGCCACGTGGTGCGGCCAAAAACAAAATAATAAAATAAAAAATAAAAATGATTTACTGAGCACCTATTATGTGCCAAGTGCTGAGGATTATAAAGGAGTTTCTTTTAGCAGTTTTTCTGAAACATGTGGAATATAATACAGGCCTGCTTTCTGCGTGGGTGGGCTGGAGGAACACCCCACCACGGCATTGAGCTAACACAATTCTTTTCACATGAACGTTAGAGGAAAGGATGGGAGCTTCTGGATGTGGACAGGAAGAAAAGTGGAAGCGACTCGATTTTTTTCAGGTGGTTGAACGAGGGTGGGGGGAGTATTTTTTTCCATTTTGACTTCCTTTGTCATCTGTGTACTTAAAAAACTTCATGAACAGACATAGCTCTCCCGGCCCCCCACCACGCGCCACCAGTGAGGAACTGGGGACATTTAACTTTGAAGAGAGGACTTGGGGGAGCCGGCTGCCTCAGACACCCCAAGTGCCATCCTAAGGCTTCACCACGCGTTGCTTCAGACCTGTAACGCCAGCATAAGCAGCCTCAGCAGCACCTGGGAACCTGTGAGAAATGCAGATTCTCATCCCCACCCCAGAACCAGATCCGCCAGCAGGGGGGCCCGGAATCTGTGTTTTGACAAGCCCTCTAGGTGGTTCTGTTTCGGGCTCACATTTGAGAAACACTGCTTTCGCTTGGATCAGGACGTCTGGAGTGGGGCCCGAGGCTCTGCACTTCCAACGAGCTCCTAGGTGATGTGATGTGAGGTGAACTACACCATAGTACCAGGTTGTACAAGGCAGCATCATGTGATGGGAGGGTGTGGGCTGGAGCAGGGCTTCCTCAGTCTCTACAGTTTTTAAAAGATGGGATTTGGGTGCAGCTGTACAACAAAACACCACGGTGCTCTTAAAAAGGAATGAGACCAAGCTGTAAGCACCAATATGGGAAAATCTCCAGGAATGTTTATTTATTTCTTGAAGTATAGTTGATTTACAATGTTGTGTTAATTTCTGTTGTACAGCAAAGTGATTCAGTTATATATATATATATATATATATATACATTCTTTTTTTTGATATTCTTTTCCATTATGGTTTATCATAGGGTATTGAATATAGTTCTCTGTGCTATACAGTAGGACCTTGTTTTTTACCCATCTTATATATAATAGCTTACATCTGCTGACCCCAACCTCCCACTCCATCCCTCCCCCAAGCCCCTCCCCCTTGGCAACCACTAGTCTGTTCTCTATGTCTGTGATTCTGTTTCTGTTTCATGGATAGGTTCATTTGTGTCATATTTTAGATTCCACATATAAGTGATATCATATGGTATTTGTCTTTCTCTGTCTGGCTTACTTCACTTCGTATGATAATCTCTAGGTCCATCCATGTTGCTGCAAATGGCATCATTTCATTCTTTTTTATGCCTGCGTGATATCCCATTGTATATATGTACCACATCTTCTTTACCCATTCATCTGTTGATGGACATTTAGGCTGCTTCCATGTCTTGGCTATTGTGAATAATGCTACTATGAACATAGGGGTACATGTATCTTTTTAAATTATAGTTTTGTCTGGATGTATGCCCAAGAGTGGGATTGCTGGGTAATTCTATTTTTCGTTTCCTGAGGAACCTCCATACTGTTCTCCACAGTGGCTGCACCAACTTACATTCCCACCAACAGTGCAGGAGGTTCCGTTTTCTCCACACCCTTTCTGGCATTTATTGTTTGTAGACTTTTAAATGATGGCCATTCTGGTCAGTGTGTTGTGGTGCACCAGGAATATTGTTAAGCGAGAAAAGTAGATTTTGAAAATATCTTTTGATAATAGCTTGCTTCCGTTAAAGCCAGGATAGTAAAATCATGATAAAACCCATTATTGCATAAATAAACTATTTAAGCATTTTAGAATGTGAATTTTAATACACCTGTTTTTCAATTTTTCACTATTCTTTCAGCAACTCGAACATTCTTGGGGAAAAAAAATTAACCATTAAAAAAACAAATACAAACGTCTACATGGGGATGCACATTTTCCCTTTCGCCTCAAGCTCCAACATGACTCCATGCAGCCCTGGTGGATCCTGTCCTTACTTAAATTTTTGATAACTTGTTCATCATGGATTTTTTTGTATGTATTTTAATTTTGAAAATATTTATCTTGATTGATGTTTTCACATACTCTTAAATTTTGAGCCTAAAGCTTTGGGGATTACTGCGGGCAGTGGTCCTCCTGGCCTCTGGGCTCTGAGATGCTCTGAGAGCTGGCAGCCCACTCTGTTCCACAGACCCCGAGCACAGCATTCACCCTCTCTGGGCTTCCGTGCTCATGGGACACTATATGCTTCCTTGAATCCCCCCCGACTTTAGAGCCTGAGATACACCTACTGAGGTCTCCTTACCTAAGTTCCCATCTCACCCTGTCGGGTGCCCATGGTGGGCATGGGCATGACTGTGGTTTGATTGGCTGAGCTCCCTGCTCATATGGTGTCTGTGTCCTCTCCATCTGGAAGGCAGGCCCCACTCATAGTAGCTCACTTTTAAAGCCAGCAGGAGATCTAGGTTGGAAATGGTTTCCTAACCGTAGCCGACGCCATCAGTGTCCTGTGACCCCTGCCATTTCTGGGCACACCCGTCCATGTCGTGGCTGCCCACAGCTGCAGCCCAGCCTGAGGATGTCCTTGCTGGAGGCCACTCTACCCCAAGGCAGGCTGTACATGCTGGGGAGAGAGAACCTGTCCCACCCGGGGTGCTCTCCGCGGTGCTACTGGAGCAGGCGAACAAAGACTCCAGCTCCCAAGGGCCAGGGTAACTCGGAGGTGTGTGTTCTGCTCTGTCCCGCACCTTGTCTGGCCATGTGGACTCTGGTTGCCCACAGTGGTGACTGGCTGGATGACCCCTCTCCCCCTTGTCATTATCATCTTCCCTCCCCTGCAGGTGGGGAGTCACCTCCCACTTTTCATGGGGTCACCGCTCCTGAGGGCAACCTCCCAAATAACTCCTTTTCCAGTGAAACCCAAACTAAAATGAAAACAAGGTTTACTCTGCCCACTTTGAAACCCAGACATTAAGGCAGGCAAGTGGTGGTGTTTTGCTGTGTGCATCCTTTTTTATTATGTTTGCTCTGTGGACAGTTTTGTCTCCTGCCTTAATCATTTTCCTCATGTTTCTCATCCTTGGTCATGATGCTTTTTTTTTTTTCCCTCAGCCCCTGGCAACGATTTTTCTATTGTTTCTGAGAGTTTGACTTTTCTGTATCTAAGTGACACCACGCACTATTCGTCTTTCTCTGTCTGGCTTATCTCACTGAACATAATGTCCTCAAGGTCCATCCATGTTGTTGCAAATGGTAGGATTTCCTCTTTCTCCGGGCTGAATAATAATCCACTGTAGATATATACCACACCTCTTTTATCCATTCATTTATTGGTGGACACTTAGGTTGTTTCCATGTCCTGGCTATTGTGAATAGTGCTACAGTGGACATGGCTGTGGAGATATCTCTCTGAGATCCTGTTTTTATTTCCTTTGGATAAATACAGTGGGATTGCTCGATCATATAGAAAGGTCTGTCTTTAAGTTTTCGAGGAACCTCCATACTGTTTGCCACAGTGGCTGCACCAATTTACATTCCCACCAACAGTGCACAAGGGTCCCCTTTTCTCCACACCCTCACCAGCATTTGTTACCTTTTGTCTATTTGATAATGGCCATTCTGACAGGTGTGAGGTGATCTCTCCTCTCTATGTGGTTGTGATTTGCATTTTTCTGATGATTGGTGATGGTGAACATCTTCTCATGTGTCTGTCGGCCCTTTGTACGTCTTTGGAAAAATGCCTGTTCGGTTCCTCTGCCCGTTTTCGAATTGTGTTGTTGGTTTTTTGCCGTTGGGTGGTGCAGGATGACTTTTAATGGCTTCATAGTGGGAGGCTCTGGCTGGGCTGTGACCGACCGGTGCTGTGTCTGTCCCTCACCCTGCAGGCATTCGCCCCTACAAATGTGACGTCTGCCACAAAGCCTTCACCCAGCGTTGCTCCTTGGAATCCCACCTGAAGAAGATCCATGGGGTGCAGCAGCAGTATGCCTACAAGCAGCGCCGGGACAAGCTGTACGTCTGTGAAGACTGTGGCTACACGGGCCCCACCCAGGAGGACCTGTACCTGCATGTGAATGGTGCCCACCCGGGCAGCGCGTTCCTCAAAAAGACATCCAAGAAACTGGCAGCCCTCTTGCAAAACAAGCTGACATCCACGCTCCAGGGCAATGCCAACCTGAGCGAGGAGGAGGAGAAGTAGGAGAGGGCGTGGATGCCAACGCTGCCACGTGTCCACAGATTCCCGGTCTTGAGGGCCCCCTGACCCACGGGCTCTTTCTAAGTCCAAGTGTTCCGTCCATCTCTCTGTCCTCTGGGGGCCTCGATGGGGGGCTCCGTTCCAAGGCTGTCAGTGATAACAGTGGCTTCAGGCCCCCCGTAACCCGTATCCTCAGGAACACTGTCACATGAATGAAAGCTTCTGGATGGCTATGATCACCGTCTGGGGTTTGGGTTTTTTTTTGTTTTTTTTTTTTTAGGATTTTCACACATGGAGGCAGGGGTGTTCTTAAGAGAGACACCCCTTGGAGAGATTGATATGGTGCCTTGAAATAAAAGTACTTCCACTTGAAATGCTCCTCCAGCAGGGATAATGAATCCTATTATTCTGAAAGAGTTAGCAGGAATTATTTTAATAAAGGAAACTTCCTGGTGACATTTTCCTGATCAGAATGAAACAGGAGAGCGTTGACCTGTAGCTCCCTGTCCAGGGCATATCGTGGGACCTTCGACTTCTGGTTATCTGTTTTGTACTAGTGGGTGGGTTTGAAGAAGGGCATCTTGAGCGTTGGGTAAAGGTAGACAGCTGGTGACAAGACAGCCCCACACGTGGCTGCCAGGCAGAGGCGCTGGGCTCAGCTTGGCAGGCGGCTCACAGATGTTCTTTGGGCCAGGGTGTTGCTGCAGAGATGCTCTGGCCTCCAGGACCGGGCCTGCTGGCTGAAGGCCATCCCCCCTCCGTGAGTCCAGCACCAGGGACATCGTGGACATCGAGGGGCCGAGGTGGAGCATTAGAAGACCCTGGGGGCCCTCAGTGCCCCTGCAGGGGGCGGGGTGGGGGGGAGGTGATGGCGGTGTCAGCATCTCCTTCCGGGCATGTGACTGCTGCGCGAGGTGACCTTTGGCCACCTGCACCTCCTCACGTGGGAGGTAAACAATAAGGCGGGGGGGGGGGGGGCGAGTGTGTGAGGTAGTCTCCGGGGTCCTTCTGTGCCTGCAGGGGCTGGAGAAAGGACCTAGAACTCTCAGGAGCCCCTGTGGCCGGGAGGGATTGACTTATAGGAGGTGCGGATCAGCTGTGCCTGGGCGCTGCCGGGGCGGAGCGCGCAGGCTCATTTCCACTCTGAAAGTCAAGGAAGTCTTTCTTTGGGAACGTTTGGATGGTGAGGCCATTTTCTTTCTTATTTCCTCCCGCCCATCCGTTATCCTCCCTTGCTCCTCTCCTTCCCTACCCCCTTCCCTCCCCCCTTCTCTCCCTACTTATCCCCCCGCCCCCTCCCCTGCCACCACTGTGGGCAGGGCCTCATGTCAGGATCCGGGCAGTTTAAGTGGTACATCCCGTATAACTCAACGTTTCTTTGGTGAGTCAGCACTTTTCTTTCGGAAGGAAGGAAGGGAGAGAGGGAGGAAATAAACCCTCTTTCCGAGCACCTACGATGCACCGGGCACTGAACCAGGCACCCCTCGCTGCATGATGTCCTCTAGAGCACTCCTGGGGGGTCAGCATCCCTGTGCCAGGTGGTGGGGGGCAGGGGAGGCAACCACAGAGGCCGTCGGCCGGGCTGGCCGCTGGAGGAAGGGTCCTGGGCCCCTAAATCTGGTCAGAACTCCTTTTTCCCTCCCTCTCCCCACCCTCCCTTCAAAAAGGAAAGACAAGGCCTCAGGTCCAACGTTGGCTACACAAGAGGCAAACGTGAGACTAGGGCAGGCTTTGGGGGATCCTCACCCCTCCGGCTTCTCTGAAGGTAAGACTCAGTGCTGCGGGCCAGCCTGAGGGGCCGCCATGGGTCCTGCTCTGCTGCATCTGAAGGTCTGGGTGTTTGGGCCGAGATGCAGTGCCACATGGTCTAAATGGCCACGTTCGAGCATCAGCGGTGGCAGGGTTGCCCTTGGGACCCACAGTGGCATGTGGGGTGTGGTGGTTGCCCAGTGCAGCCTCAAGGGACACAGCCAGTGCTGAGGGCTCAGCCCTGGTCCAGTGGGCAAACTGGGTTGTGTCTCAGCAGTTGATACAGGGGAGAGAGGCTAGAAGGTGGCTAATTTGCCTTCCTCAGTTACCTGGCATTCCTGTAAAGGAATATCTCAATGACTGGCTGGGCCAGCTGGCCTGTGGCCGGTTTTGCATAGGGAATTGTGAACTAGCTGACGTGGTGTTCTCTTTAGGGTCAGATTTTTATTAAACAGAACTCTTCTGGTGGCACATGACAGAAACTCGGTTTAAAATGACTTTAACAGAAGAAAAGAATGTATTAGTTGTAATGTCTAGGGTTTTTCCAGCTTCAGGGGTGGCTGGATCTAGGTGCTTAAATCATATCCTTTATCTTTCTGTCTTTTATCCAGTTTTCCTCCAGGTGGCTTCTTTCTCAGGCAGATTCAAGTGGGGGCTGGATGTCCATCCACTGCTCTGGACATCTGTGCAGCAGCCCAGCAGAAGGGGGGTTTATCTTTTAGCCAAAGATCCTGGGCTGATGCTTCCTGTGTCTGACTGGCCCCGTCTGTCTCTTGTCATCACCTCTCCCCTCCAACCCTAGCCAATCACTGTGCTCTGCTGGCCCAGGCCTGAGCCGTGGGCTCCTGCCTCCTCCGAAGCAGGGCTGGAGAGAGCAGGCTGGCTACACCTCTGGCTTGGGAGGGATGGGAAAGTGCTTCCCCGGCAGAAAGCAGGGTGCAGTACCCAGGGAGGAAATGGAGGTTGGGTAGGTGTACCAGCTAAGACAAGGCACAGCTGCTGGAACAAAGATTCCCAGCATGTGGTATGGCTTAAAGGAGAGAGACGGGTGTTTCTTCCTCACCTAGAGGCTCTGGGTTGGCAGGTGGTTCTCCTCCATACAATCACTCAGGGACTGGGACGTCTTTTTTTTTTTTTTAATAAATGTATTTATTTATTTATTTTTGGCTGCTTTGGGTCTTCGTTGCTGCACGCGGGCTCTCTCTAGTTGCGGTGAGCGGGGGCTACTCTTTGCTGCGGTGCACGGGCTTCTCATGGCGGTGGCTTCTCTTGTTGGGGAGCACAGGCTCTAGGCATGCAGGCTTCAGTAGTTGTGGCTCGTGGGCTCTAGAGTGCAGGCTCAGTAGTTGTGGCGCACGGGCTTAGTTGCTTCGCGGTATGTGGGATCTTCCTGAACCAGGGCTCGAACCCATGTGCCCTACGTTGGCAGGCAGATGCTTAACCACTGCGCCACCAGGGAAGTCCTGGAACCTCTTTCATCTGTTGCCCTGGGACCTTGTGAACATGTGCATGGTTGGAGCTGGGGTTCTGGTTTTCAGCCAGTAAGAGAATTGTTCTGGTTTGGTTTCCTTCAGAAGCTGCTTCTGAGTCAAGAGTTCAAGTTCAAGTTGCTGGCTTAGCAGGTGATCCCAGAAAGCAACAGATGGAGGGAGGTGGGGAAGTGGGACAGGAAAAGAAAGACAACGAATGCAAGGGCTGTAACCGGAGAAGTTACTGATGTGGGCAGTTGGAGCTTAATCCAAGAGGGGATTGCTGGGAGACTGTTCCCCCACAGGAGGGGCACAGCAAGCCATGGTCCTCTAGCTCCCCATGCCTGGGGGTTTGGTTGAGGGTGCTGGCACTGGAGGCATTCATTTCTGGGCGCTTCCAGCCTGCCCTGTGCACTGGCCAGGCATGCTTCCTGTGCCAGGAAAAGCCCTCAGGCAGAGTTCAAGGGCTTGGCCGTGAGCAATCTTATATACCAACCACATACAGCAGATGCTGAGGGGACGTGGGTGGGGCAGCCCTGGGTCTGGTACAGGTGTGGACGCGTCACACCCACCCTCTGAAGCTGCTGCCCGGACGTGGCACACAGGCCTTCCACTCACATTCCAGGGTGAGGATTTTGCCATGTTACCTGGCGGACAGAAAAATGCAGCTTCTCAGCCACAGGCTCTTGTATGCCAGAGCGGGGGATGGATTATGGGAGCAACTCGCGGTCTCTGGCGTGGCAGGCAAAGCCAGCTGACGACCACCCGAGCCTCTGACCCCCTCCTCCTCCCAACCCTGTCTGTTTGTCCTGCTCTCAGCCAGTTGTCAGAAAATCCAGCTACAGTGTCCAGGGTCATGATTTAGGGCACTGGTTCTCAGGTTGGCAGCCCTGGGACCTTTAGTCTGTAAGTGGTGAGGGTGGAGATGGATGAGCTGTTGTCAATATCTTCTGTCCCTCATTGGAAACCATCTACTAGCCTGTATGAAGTCCACCCGGCAACGTCTTTGCTTTTGGTTGGTGTTAGGTCAGCACCTAGTACGGAAACGGATTCTTGGGCTCATCAGAAGTGCCCCTGGTGCTTTGTTTCAGAGAGAGGGATCTGTTATCAACCTATGTGCTCTATTTGGTTGATGTCTTAGGCTGGGTTCCTTGAAGCAGCCTGAGACAGGGAATCTAGGGTACGTGATTTAGTGGGGGAGGCTCTCAGGAGAAACCAATAAGGAAGTGAGGGATGCAAGTTACAACAGAGAGAAACCAGACAAGGCTGTGGGTTCCGCTGGAGTCTAGCCTCAGCCCGATCCCAGGGGGAGCTCTGGAGTGTGAGGTGCCATAGACTGTCCCACCGCGAGGCCAGGGGCCGGCCATTGGCTTATCCCTGGGCAGGGGAGGGGGAAGGCAGGCCCACTGGCTGTTCAGCAGCCAACCCTTTTGGAACCTGGGGGTGGTTCACGCGGAGGTTTCCAGGGTGAGGGAGGGAGAAATCACAGGAGTGGATTCTTAGGGGTGAAGGAGATTCGAGGTCCAATAGCTATACTTTGATAAGGGCCCTTTTTGGGAGCTAAAGGAGTGAATCACTTATTGCAAATTACGTGGTGTTTGGGGGGGGGAATAAAAAATGTTTTTAAACGCATGCAGAGAAGTGTCTTCCCCCCAGATTCGTTTCTCATCTGCCAAACCTCCTCTACTGTCATCATCAGCCGCTCTTAGCTTCTTGTGTACCTTTCTTGAGTTTCTTTACTCATATAGAAGCAAATAGGAATGTATGTATCCTTGTTCCCCACTGCTGTTTTTAAAATTAACGTATAGCGTTATGCATACTCTTTGGAACCTTGCATTTTTCTTTTTTGAATTTTATTTATTTTTTATTGAAGTATAGTTCATTTACAGTGTTGTGTTGGTTTCTGGTGTACAGCAAAGTGATTCAGTTATACATATATATTCTTTTTCATATTCTTTTCCATTACAGTTCATTAAAAGATATTGAATATAGTTCCCTGTGCTATACAATAGGACCTTGTTGTTTATCTATTTTATATATAGTAGTTTGTATCTGCTAATCCCAAGCTCCTAATTTATCCTTCTCCCCTCCATTTTTCTTTTAATAATACATCTAGTAGCTCTTTCCATAGTAGTACAAAAAAGTGATCTCATTCTTCTTTATAGCTATCTATTATTGTATTGTATGGATGTACCATAACTTAGGTTATCTGTCTTCTACTGATGGACATTTATGTTG